TTCCAGTGAAATATATTTATGTTTGTGGTTGTAATGTGACAAAATATGGAAAAGTTCAAGGGGTATGAATACTTTTGCAAACCACTGTATAAGGATAAATATAACTGACCCTTTTTGATTGGTTTTACTACACTTCAATAAAAAAACAACAACAAAACCGTGAATACTCAAAACACACAAAAAGCCTAAAATAAATGGCAACAATTTGTCAAAAATCCCCACACTATTTCAAAACACACACAATAAAACCACATTTAAAAACAAAACTCAAAAAAAAAAACCAACGTTTCAGAGAACACATCATCAACACTGAAGTGTTTCACAAAACCCATCCCTGGTATGCTGGGAAAATAAATGATGGTATAAAAACTGTTCCTGTAAAAACCGTCAAGAAGCTGTGGGCTCTGTGGTCGTTATACAGACACACAACACAGAAATTTATTGGTTCCCAGAAAACATTCACTGTTACATTTTTTATAACATGGCTGTATAAAGTTAGTGTGAGGGTTGAGATTTTTCCTAACATAAACTATGCTGGCCCAAAGGTGCAAAGCAAAGACATTGCAAAAATCCTTCAAAAAGTGAGAGTGACTACTTTAAAATAAAAACTTTACATACAATAAACACTCATATACTATATATCAGTTAGAGTGTTTACAAAGCATACAGATGTTGTTTTGTGAAATGTTGAAAACTCACATTTGGGTTAAAGAGCGATGTCAAGTTGTTATAGAAGCAAAGCACACAAAATAGCAGGACAATGAATTGCTGTGGCAGACTTAAAGGGGATATATTATACAAAATCCACTTTTTTAGTTGTAAAATATGTTTTATTGTGTATTTGGAGTCTCTAAGAGTGTAGAAAATTTAAATTTAGTTTCTATCTTTAAAGATATCTTTATATTCTGTCTGGGTCAAATTTAACCTGCTCAGTTTTCTCTATTTTCAATGACGTTTTCTGAATTATTACATCACAGAATTTGCGATACAACTTCTAAATAAGGTCTGAACTTACAAACTATAATACAATGGTCTTCATTCTCCTCTGGTTCTGGGTCAAACTGGTTCTGGGTCAGACTCTGGCTCCAATGGACAAGTCTTCCCTTGTTGAAGTCTTTTAAAACATTTGTAAATAAAATGTTTGTGCGCTGCTGTATTAACCCCTCTAGAATGGACCGCTCTGGAAGCTGGAAGGGGGGCGGGGTGCAAAGCGCCTTCTCTGGATTTAAAGAGACAGCCTCAAAATGAGTTGATCTGAGACACGCCTCAGAAAATGGGTGGGGCTTGTGGAGTTACAATAAGGAGGAATTCAGACCATAGCATTGCAGTTCCACTTTATATAGAGTCCAACTGAATTATTTAAATGTGAAAAATGATTCAAAAGCATCGTAAGTCTCCTTTAAGTCATCTACATGTTTATTATGGTCTGAGTTTTTACAAATTATTACTCAGACAAAAAAATTAAACAAACTAAACCCTTTAGGAACTCATTGAAGCCAAACTCCCAACACTTTCCCCCCCGATTTGGTTAAAGGTGGGATAGGAAGAGGACTAATCAAAACACAAGAGGTGCGGTAAAGGGAGCAGTATGTGACTCAAACAGTGATACAGTGTCTGACTGGTGCACAGAAATGACATTATTATGGAGTCTTTCTCCTCATCTGTAGACATAGTCTTGTTTTTATCTGTAATAATATCTATACTTGTAAATAAATTAAAGATAACCCAAACATGATATTGACAAATGGCAAAAAAGGAAAAAAAACAATAATAATAATAATAATAATAATAATAATAATAATAATAATAATAATAAAAAGACTTACTGATCTTCTTTGAAATAGGTGAAGCCAATAAAAGGTAACTGGTTGCCCACGAACGCTTTAGGTGGAGGAAAGGTCTCCGCATCTCCTTTTTCCACCTCTATGTCATCAAAGTTACTCGTGTCTATGTCACTGTGGAGCTCCGGCACAACTGGGGCCACAGCTGGAAGTCAGAAACACAGAGGAAGAGGATGATCAGGAGGTGCTGCTGATAAAATAAAACCCCCTCTTGTCCTGCAGGTATTTAAATCCAAAACCCTTTCAGCACTGACAGCGTTGTCACCAGTTTGAGCAGACTCCCTCCCAGCCAACTTTGGCACCGCCTTCAGAAGGTTTTCTACAGGTTGGCGTGAGCGCGACACCACTCCTTTTCCCACACAGTGCTCGCTTTGTGCCCCACGCACACAGTTGCCTTTCACAAATGAAGCCTGACCACGCCAGCAGAGATTGCTCCTTCTGCTCTCTTTTCATAAGAGCAAGCACACTTAAAAAATACTACACAACATGTGGACAAAAAGTCTGTAAAGGGGCCAATCAGATAAAACGAAGCTGGTCTTTTACTCTATAAAAAGATCCCAATTAAGAATAAAAAGCAGCTATTATGTATCGAGCTGCTCAGGCCAGTGTGATTCTGGCTCGGAGCAAAGAGCTCATTACTGTTAGGTTAAGACTCAGCGTGACAAATCTGACCCGCAGATGGGAGAGAAAATACAGGGAGTCATCGGAACAAACGGAGGGGGAGTCAAAGAGGAGAAAATGAAAAAAGAGAAGCCAAAGTGTGGTGAGACAGAACGAGACATGGATGCCCTTGTGGCCTGACTTCCCAGAATGCTCTCTGATAGTGGGAGACTAATGACAGGCAGCCGAGGCCACAGTGAGAACCAAGGAGCGGGAGAGAACCTTCGAATCGGGGCGCCCCTCTCATTAGACCAGGCCACATGGGCTGCCCCGCCTGCCGCTGCGGGGGATTCATCTTCCAATTCCATCCATCCATCCATCCATCCATCCATCCATCCATCCATCCATCCATCCATCCATCCATCCATCCATCCATCCACAGCTCTGCAGGACGCAAGAAATGCGGCAAGTTTATGTTTGGAATGCGTGTTTGTGTGCATGTGTGTGTACATGTATTTACTACATCGTGGGGACCATTTTCCAGACAAACACAGCCTTGTGGGGACCCGATGCTCCACATGGAGAAGAAAGCCTGATCCCCAGGGGTACCGAGGCCGATTTTGGGTGGGGGGTTAGGTTTAGGGTAAAGGGTCAGTATTAGGCTTTAGAAATGACCAGTAAATGAATGGAAGTCAATGCAAAATCCCAACAAGAATAGCAAAACCAACATGTGTGTGTAAGTGGATGGGTTTTTCCTACAATGTGGGGACAATTTTCCCCAAAAAAAGCAGCCTCGTGGAGACAGAAGTGAATTGTGGGGGCCAATGCCAGGTCCCCACGGGTCCAAATGCAAATTACGGGTGTGGAGTCAGGTTTAGGACCAAGGTTTAGGTTAGTTTTAGGGTCAGAAAGGTACCTGTCAGTTTTATTTAGGGTATATAGTCTACGATTATGATATAAAGTCTAAAAAATAATGAATGGAAGAGATTGGAAGGTCCCCACGGGGTTCAAGAACAAACGTGTGTGTGTGTGTGTGTGTGTGTGTGTGTGTGTGTGTGTGTGTGTGTGTGTGTGTGTGTGTGTGT